TACTAAATATGGCAATATTAGATGTAACACATATTTCTTTTGCTATTTACCGACTCCCGATGGATAGCACAATTTTAGCTATATATAGCAGGATCTGCTACATATAGCAGTGTTATATAGCACTTTTGAAAAGTTACTTTTTCTTCTTCTAGCAAATTGTATACAACATTGCTAGATGTTACACAAATCTGCTATATAGCAGGTTTAGCTACATACAGTAGTGTAAACCCGGCTTAAGGCCAAAATTATGAAAACCGGTCTAGAAGAGCTAACCCGACTTGGAAAAGAAAAACCAATTGTTTTTATAGATGGCAATAACTGATTTACCAGTATGTATAATCTAATCATACGAAACATGAGTTAATAATTTAACAGCTTATCGTTTTATTGTTATTTAATCGATTTTTCTTTGATTAAATATTGTTGTTAATAATTTGCATTTGTGTTTAAAGTGTGTTCCTTATGTTAAGCGTGTAATTCTAATGTTATGTGCTTAATATGTACCAAATATTAGTGAGTAAAGTGGTGTATGGATTTCATAACCATTATTTTACTAGAGACCGTTGTATTTAACCCACAATGGGCTCTGTTGCTAGTCTATTAAATAAATAACATTAGGTTTAACGAAACGAGTACCTAGGTTTGCTGCTAGAAGGAAACTAATTAAGTGTGATTTTAGTAAAATATTAATTGTTTAGTATAAAATAAATAAATCTGCAAAGTTTTATCAAAATATATCCATAAAGAAGCAAACTACAACATTTTACAATATTCTCCATAAGAATAACATGGGGATTTAAAATTTCCAATTTTTTGAATTTTCTCCGTTACCAATAACCGTACAAAAACACTTTGATATACTTAACTATTTGTTTTTTAAGCTCTTTAAAAAGGTCTAGAGAGAAATTAGGAAATGTTATGTTTTAAGGGTAAAAAAAAAAAAAAATTAAAGTATAAAATAACTTATAAATAAAAAACCTTTTAAATGGCACGTTTTTAAATGCATCTTTCTTCCCCATAGTGCATCACTGTTAACAGTATATTTTAAATTCAACCATTATATTCTTTTCCAGCATGAAATTTTCTATAATTTGATACCAAACCAGATTTTTTAACAATAATTTAAAATTAAACACTTTTTTTAATGGCGGCCAAAAAAGCTGTATTTTGCGTAACAGTGCAAATGTATATTTTTAGTATGTTTTTTATAAGTGTATTACCTACCATTTATAACTGAAATAATTTATGTTGCAATTAGTTCCACCTCCAACACTATTTCTACTGCACTAACTCCCTTTGGAAAGTTACAAAAAAACTTAAAACGTCCACAAATTTACATTCCACCTATTCTAAAAGAAGACGGTTCTTGGGCCAAAAACAACATCGAGAAAGCAGATGTCTTTGCTTCATACTTCAAAGAAGTGTTCAAACCATATAATATAAATTCAAACGTTGAACAAATTTTGGAATTCCTCAATTCTCCAAATCAACTTGATTTACCGATAAAATTGTTTACACCATCCGAAGTAGCTAAAGTAATAAAAGACGATTTAAACGGCAAAAAATCCCCAGGTTATGATCTGATAACAGGTAAAGTGTTGAAAGAGCTGCCTAGAAAAGGAATAGTATTCCTTCAGATGTCTTTGCTTCATACTTCAAAGAAGTGTTCAAACCATATAATATAAATTCAAACGTTGAACAAATTTTGGAATTCCTCAATTCTCCAAATCAACTTGATTTACCGATAAAATTGTTTACACCATCCGAAGTAGCTAAAGTAATAAAAGACGATTTAAACGGCAAAAAATCCCCAGGTTATGATCTGATAACAGGTAAAGTGTTGAAAGAGCTGCCTAGAAAAGGAATAGTATTCCTTACAGTACTTTTCAATGCAGTTTTACGCCTCAAATACTTCCCAATACAGTGGAAGGTTTCACAAATTGTTGTTATTCCGAAACCTGGTAAACCTTTAAATCAAGCATCCTCGTATCGGCCTATATCTCTTCTTCCCGTGGTTTCAAAAGTTTTTTAAAAACGTTTTTTAAAAAGACTCCAAATTATAATTGACGAAAAAGAATTGTTGCCTTCCCATCAGTTTGGATTCCGCAGAAAGCATTCCACCATTGAGCAAGTGCATAGAATAAAGAATGTAATCAAGGAAGATCTTGAAAATAAACGTTTTTGTTCATCTGCTTTTTGGACGTAGCCCAGGCGTTTGATAAAGTCTGGCACACAGGACTATTGTTCAAAATTAAAACTTTGCTGCCCCATACTATGGAGTGTTGAAATTGTATTTGTCCAAACGTTTTTTTCAAATTAAATATCAAGATGTAGTTACAGATGTGCATGAAATTGAATCAGGTGTACCACAAGGCAGTGTTCTTGGAGCTATTTTGTATATTTTGTTCATGTATGACCTTCCAAGTACTCAGGGTATTACAGTTGCAACATTTGCAGACGACACTGCTTTTTTGTCATCAAATCAGGATCCTATTCTAGCATCATCAAACCTTCAGGCTGCATTAGACGATTTGTCTCAGTGGCTTCAGAATTGGAAAATTAAAGTAAATGAAACAAAATCCGTTCAAGTTACATTTACTATGTCTACAAGAACTTGCCCCCCCAGTAACATTGAATAATGTAATGCTTCCACAATCCAACGAAGTTAAGTACCTTGGTATGCATCTCGACAGACGGCTTACATGGTATTCACACATTTGGAACAAACGACTTCATTTAAATTTAAACACAAACAAACTAAATTGGCTTATTGGTCGAAATTCAAAATTATCTGTTGAAAATAAATGACTTTTATACAAAATTATATTGAAACCTATTTGGACCTACGGTATCCAACTCTGGGGAACCACTTCAAACTCGAACATAGAAATAGTTCAACGATTTTAATCTAAAACACTAAGAAAGATTTTACAAGCACCTTGGTTTGTCACAAATAAAGTTATTCATCAAGATACAAAATTACCCTATGTTAGAGAAGAAATAAAAAAACGAAGTGAAAAATATCAAAGAAAATTAGAAATCCATCCAAATTTCCTGGCAGTTAACCTCCTCGATAATAGTGAAACTACATATAGGCTCAAAAGAGTTAATCCAATAGACCTTCCAAATTGTTTTAGTTCAATTTTTTTTAATTTTTTATATGCTAGTGCACTTGATGGAGTGTACCTAACCCATGTTAAAATGGTCATGAAATTTACTTACTGTTCTAGTATAGAATAGATTGTAAATAAATACTTGTTAAAAAATAGCTATTTACCTTACAAGTGTAGTAAGAGCGTTTTTACATCACGCAGGTGAAGGTTGTGCAACGAGCGGAATCGAGTTGCATAATTTACCTAAGTGATGTAAACACGCTCTTGCGTAACGTGTAACGTACAAGATTTTACCTGACCCGACGATATACAGGAGGTTACGAACAATATTAATCAATATCCATTTCACTCATCTTCTAACAGTAACGTTCATTTACAAACAAAAGCTAGGTTAGGAGAATTCTTCAAAACATAACAATAAAATTAAAGAGCACAGCTGATTTCTAGCGTTGAACGTCGTTGGCTCCATAGAGGTATATTTTTTAAGTTAAGCACTCAATGTTATTTAAATGGATTTCATTACATCACCGAGTGAGTTTTTTCAACTTTACATCACTCGAGAAGTAAGGAAGTTGTATACAACACGCTTGGGATAGGGAAGTTTAACATGGCGGGTTAGGTAAAAAATTACATTTTGTAGGTTTGCTCTTGTTACCATGGATACCATCAATCAATATTTTAAAATCTCTCACCTCAAATTTTTCAAAGCCCACGGGGCAGAGCCCTAGGACAATAGCGAAGAGGGAATAGTTGTATAATATATATCCTCGGAGCTGTAGCTTCATTTGCGTGCAATTTGAGCCCAGTCGGTTCAGTACTTTTTGAGATTATCTCATACAAACACACACCCACACATACACACAGACACCACTTCTTCTTTATAATAGTATAGATAGATAGATAGATAGATTACTATTACAGTATTATATATTGTCTGTTCTATGGCTAAAATACATTTTTATTACTGCATCAGCTGGAGACACTCTCTGAATATCTGCTTCAGCCATTTGTTGTCAAACATTGATCTCGTAAAATAGTGAAAATAGTTTTCGCATACACTAATAGAGCAAGGTTTGTACTAAAAGAAAACCTTCTTTTAGTTTAAAAAATACATGTTTCACAGGAAACAATTTTAACCATTGTAGTAACACCATTATATCTTAAAAAAAGTTGATATGTGATAGTTCACATAATATCACATTTGACGGATAAACCTTTTTTGAATTCGTCATATTATAAGTGTATGAAAATTCATATATCTGTCTATCAATCTCTGTGTACTTATCTCATTTCTGTTCAATGGAAGTTATGTAATTTCAATGATACCGGTACTTAATGCAATAATTAGTTCAATTAGAACCATTGAATATTGAATAATTTAAACATTAATCGAAGACGAAGCGGTTGACAACTTTCAAACAGTTGACTAGGCCTAGTTGCCTTCAATAATTGCAATGCGAACTGTATGCACTGAGGTCGGCAAACAGTGTTCACAGTGTGCAGGCACTTTGGACGTCGTGGCACTTGGACGTCGTGGCACTTGGACGTCGTGCAACAGTCAAATATTGATTGGACGTCGTGGCACTTGGACATCGTGCAACTGGCAGAGGCTTTGGACGTGGTGCAAATGATACTTTTTTACAATTCTACAGTGCGCTGTTTCACGACGTCCAAAGCTTGTAGAAAGACTATATTTTTGGCAGTTAACTTTTGGACGTCGTGGTACTTGGACGTCGTGCAACAACTCAAAAATTATGTTTTGGACGTCGTGGCACTGAAAAATATTATTGGACGTCGTGGCACTTGGACGTCGTGCAACACTCCCAAATTTATCACTCTCTTCAATTATCCTGTTTTGTAGTAAGAACAAAAAAAGATGTAGCCTACCGCCAGCTTGTCGTGGTAGATGTTGAGCAGTTTCTTGAGTGTGAGGTCCACCAGAGAGGAATTGGATTTTCGTAGCAGTGCTGCCAACGCCTCAGCCCCAGCCTGCTGTATCACAGGTATGGGATGTATCACATCTCCAAGCAGAGACTCGCACAGTGTCGTAGTATCCAGCCTGAGACCGGCCGCCTCCCACAACTTGTTGGCCAACTCTCTATAAAAGACATTTTACCAAATAAAGTAGTCCCTCAATAATTTGTCAGGTAAAGAACCAGGAGGGTGTCTGACTACCAAAATGTTAGATTACCAAGATTGGCTTTTAGCAAATTTCCCATATAGGGAATGGGCTATTACTGAAGGTCTCATGGTAAGACCTATTTGAACAAATTAAGACTATTAAGACCCAAGACCGATTTGCTTTTACGTTCTGATGTTCTCAGAGAAAAAAAAAACCATCCGCCCAGATTCATATGTCTTTTATATGTGTCCCTTTGCACGATAATTCTAATGAAAATCATGTGATTATAATTAAATAGAATACAAACATGTAAGTAAACCTACATTTATTCAAACGAACCAGCATGATTTGACTATGGGAACAAGGTTATGGGATGAAAATTGAGTTATCCCATTTTTTACCGCCAAAGATAAAATTGTGCAATCTCTTTCTAAATTACTTTGTTGAGCTCAAAATAAATAGTTTTGTATATTTAAGGGTTGTATGACTAATGATTTTGGAGAACTTTTGAAAAATTGTAAATTTTACATATCCATGTCTTTCTCATTAATTAAAAAACTGCCGTAGTTTGCTTGTTTATGAATATTTAAATTAAATTTGTGTATTTTATACTAAGCTATTAACATTTTAATAAACACACTTCATTCCCTCCCTGTAGCAGCAAATCCAAGTAATCACTAACATTAATACTAACTAGGGTAAATAGGAAATAAATCTGACAATTTTAGGGGAATATTTTAGTGAAAATATATTCAAATAAACAATAACAATAATCAATACAATAGTAAACAACAGTAATAACAATAAATAATAATAATCTATATATATATAACATCCAATGTATGTTTATTTGTTTGTATGTATGTATGTTTGTATGTATGTATGTATGTTTGTTTGTCCTTTGTGGACTCTGAAACCGCTCCACAGATTGTAATGAAACTTTCAGGCATTATCTATATAATTAATACGCTACATGAAACTTTGTCGGTTGAACTCCTCCGCCATTTCTTAACCGATTTTATCCATTGACGTCTCATTGGAAAGAGCGTATCGCGTAGATTTGCAAACTGGTCTTACATTTTTGAAAAAAAGTCCCTTGGGCTCTGCCCCAGTGGTTTTGAAAGTTCCCATGTTATCCTTATGAAGAACATAATTGTTTACATTTTGATCAGCTGTAAATTGCTGTTATTTATTTTTCAATTCAATAAAACGCATTGCGTATGTTTATTTACTATTTGAGTTTGTGTAAACATAACCCCCAAGACGGATCGTGTTAGTATGGTTGTATCTTAAATTTTTGTGTATTTATCGTTGTTTTGTGTCGCTATGACGGATCGTGTTAGCATGATTGTAACTTAAATTTGTGCATTTAGCGTTGTTTTGTGTAGCTATAATTTGTTTATTTGTTGTTTTTTTTTCTTTTAAATGCCTCCGACGTGTCGACAGCGAAACATAGACAGGAGGCGTAATCGTGATAACGACCGCAGCTACAGAACAGTGACACGAAATAGGCTCAACTATTAGGTTAAAAATGCGCCCTAACACTACCCCAAAACAACTTTTTGTTCTCAATTGGCCCTTTATCAATGACCTGTGTTGCCTGTACAGTGAGGCATTTTGAGAAGGAGAAAACCGGCCGGAATGCTTTAGGTTTATCATTAACGAAGATAGACATGGTATGAGTTACACACCGGTAATCTTTGAGTTGACTCTTTTAAATTCATTGTAAATATGAATTATTACTGTTATTCGTTTTGAAATAACTCCTGTAGTACTTTGCAATTGCTCGAATTCGAGCAACATGTACTCTAGTTAAGCAGTATTCAAGGATGGTTTGTGTGAAGTTTGGTGCAGATATGTCAAAAGGGCTCCGCCCCAGTGGTTCTGAAGTTTCCCATGTTAACCTTATGAGTACTCATATTTAAATGTAATTTGAGAATCTTAACAGCTGGTTCAACTAATCAATTTCAATCTGTGATGTTCAATAGTATTAAAAAGTTAATAGGTTTACCAACAGGGTGCAGCACTATTTTTTTTTAAATTTATGACAACAGCTAATTTGCAACCAAAAGGTGAGTGAGCGTAGCGAACGAACTTCAACCAGGACGTGATTGAGCCATGCGAACGAGCTTATCTTGAAAATGAACGAGCTTTTGACATAAAACCACATTAGGACAGGACGACGTCTGTCTGGCCAGCTAGTAAGATAATAAATATGACAATAGTAAATAATAATTTTTTTTCTTTTTCCTTTTAGTTGAAAAATATAAGTAAATGACAACAACATAGCAATTTGGACATATTTAATTTAAACGGGTAATAATAAGTGAAAGTGGATTACAGGAATGTAGGGCTACCACAAGTTGTTGTTTTAATAGACTAATTTGTGATAAATTATTGATAATTGCTGCCCAAGTTTGGAAGTATTTTAAAATTGATGAAGCAAACAACAGATTTGCGAAATGCATCATATTATTTAATAGGCTTATCTCCAAAGGTGGGGGTTCTAAAAGGACTTTTAACCTAATGAAAAATACATAAAAACCCACAATACCGGTACATACTCTAGGCCTACAAAACAACCATCACAGTCACCAAAATAAGCCTTTGTTAAATAATTTTTTTTCAATAAGCCTTCATCTTAAACTAAATTACCACCTCAAATTAATATGTAGGCATATTTTCTAAAAATGTTTCATGGTGAGGTAGCCTCTGTTATAAGTACTCATTTATAATCTAATTGTATTTTATATTTTGTTGTATTGGCACAACTGTAACTATCAGTAGTGGGGGAGCCTCGTCTGTGAGTCTCTTCCTTCTTCACTTTGGTTTTAATAAAGATGGCAGCTTTGAGTTAATTGAAGATGTTTGTTTTATTTAAATATATATGCACCACAGCCTACTTTAATAATAATAATGACTGAAGAACAATCGCTACATGGCGCTGCGTTATATATATCAAATTTAAAAGTGAATGTTGCAGTTAAGTAGTAAAATTTACAAATAACAAAGTGACGCCAACAAAACCTCATGGTAACGGCAGGGGTAAGTCTACATTATGACAAGTTTCAAGCCTCCAGGGCCATTAATTATTAATGAAGATGTGGCTACAGAGTGGACACTTTTTAAGAAACAGTTTCTGTTGTTCTTGAAGGCAACTGAAGCAACGGGAAAGGCTGAAGATGTGAAAATTGCTCAGCTCTTGAATGTTATTGGGGCCGAGGCTCTGTCGGTCTATTACACTTTTAAGCTAGGGCCTGAGGAAAATTTAACCCTCAATCAAGTCATCAATGCGTTTGAGGCTCATTTTACGCCTAAAACTAATGTTGTGTATCAGAGATACCTATTTTTCAGGTCTCAGGCTGATGGGGAATCGTTTAATAGTTTTTTGACGGACTTACGTAAACTTGCTATCTCATGTGACTTTGGGGATCAAGAGTCAAATTTAATAAGGGATAGGATTGTCATGGGAATCAACGATAACTCGACTCAAGAAAGACTTTTACGAGAAACTAACGTAAAACTTGATGACGCCGTTAAGTTTTGTAGGCTAATCGAGTCTAGCAGGGAGCATGTAAGTAACATAACCAAAGACAAAGTGGTTTTTTCTGTTAATGATAAATCTTCAACTACACAAGCTCCAGTAATTAAGGAAGAAGTAGTACATGAAGTGGGCCTACGTCAAAGGAAAGGTAACCAATGGGGCCCAGGAAGTGGACAGCAAGCTAGGCCTCCTAGGCCTGTCAACAACAAGGACTCAGGTAAACCTTATCTTTGTAAAAAATGTAATACCACGCACCTAGCAGCACGCTGCCCAGCCTATGGCAAGCGCTGTCTCCTGTGTAATAAATTAAATCACTTCTCAGTAGGTTGTTTTAAGAACACAAGAAAGCAGTTTAATAACAAGTTCAAAAGTAGGCCTAGTGGTAGTGTCAAACAAGTAAATGACATTCTTTGTGACGATGAATTTTATATTGACAGTATAGGATCTGAAAAAACAGCGGAAGGAGGTTGGTTTGAAAATGTGTTAATAGGTCCCAGTCGACACGAAGTTGAGTTCAAGTTAGACAGTGGTGCGGAAATAAACATATTGCCTTTACAGAAGCTCTTGGAAATTGATTCAGAACTAAGTGATTTTGTGACACCGCCTAAGATTAAACTGGTCTCCTATGGTGGTTTTAAACTTCAAATTGAAGGTATGATTTCTCTCCGCTGTCATATTAATAGTAAGCAGTCCACAGAGGATTTTGTTGTAGTTTCAATCTCTAAATGTGTTCCAATATTAGGCCTACCCTCCTGTATAAGGTTTAGCTTAATTAAAAGAGTTTGCTCTGTGACTAATTCTCAACCCGACCTAGTCAGTCAAAATAATGATGTTTTTTCAGGACTTGGATGTTTTCCAGGACTTTATAGTCTTAAACTAGACCCAACTGTACAACCTGTAGCTAAGCCTCCAAGGCGTGTACCATATGCTGTACTACCTAAATTGAAAGATACTTTAGAGCAGTTAGTTATGTTAAAAGTAATAGAGAAAGTACAACATCCACAAAGCTGGATTAGTAACCTAGTCATAGTAGAGAAACCTAACAAAACTCTAAGGTTGTGTCTAGATCCACAGGAACTAAACAAGGCTTTACACCCAGAACCTTTTTTAATCCCTACTTTAGAGGAGATCAAATTAAAACTAAGTGGGAAAAGCTACTTTTCTGTGCTTGATCTTAAAGATGGATTCTGGCATGTTAAATTAGATCAGGAGTCAAGCCACTACTGTACTTTCAGTTCACCTTTCGGTTGTTACCGATTTCTTAGACTGCCTTTTGGTATAAAAGTTGCACCAGAACTTTTCCAGAAAATTAATTCTGAAGTGTTTGGTGACATTGATGGTACTACCGTGTACTTTGATGATCTGTTAATTTGCGCCTCAACTGAAAGAGAGCATGATGACATATTGAGTAAAGTTCTTAATAGAGCCAGGG